GAGTCCTGACTCCATCAAAGCTCCAGCTCTCCTCGTGTCTCTCTGAGTCCTGACTCCATCAAAGCTCCAGCTCTCCTCGTCTCTCTCTCTGAGTCCTGGCTCCATCAAAGCTCCAACTCTCCTCGTGTCTCTCTGAGTCCTGACTCCATCAAAGCTCCAGCTCTCCTCGTGTCTCTCTGAGTCCTGACTCCATCAAAGCTCCAGCTCTCCTCGTGTCTCTCTGAGTCCTGACTCCATCAAAGCTCCAGCTCTCCTCGTGTCTCTCTGAGTCCTGACTCTCCATTGCTGCAGAAGTTTCCCTTACAGACATGAGACAAAAAAACAGCAACAACAAAAAATGTGTGCTAATGAAACAGAGTACGACACATTTCAATAAAATAGTGCAGGTGATGTTGCTAGACCAGTCCAAGTAGTGCCGATTAACTTAACTATATACATGTCCGAAAATAAATAAATACAATAAGCTAAATGATGCAGAGAATGTTGAAAGTGACCAAGTAAATGCAGGTCACTTTCAACATCAGAAGGGATTACTAGTCTTTTTTAATTAGTAGACGGCAATCAGATTGTAGGTTGAAATGAAAATGTACGTTTGCAAAATGTCGCCACCTTTTGTATAGAGAGGCAAAGTCTCTCCCTTTCCGGGGGACCTCCATGTCAAGTCATTGGAGAGAGAATCTCTCGATCCCGTTTGAATTGTGCCACGAATTACACATATGATGTTTGTCAATTTAAAAAGATAATTTTGCAAGTCCAACAAATGTAAACGTGTCGTAAAAATGTGAAGTAACACTTTTTGTGTGTGAAACCGCTCAATGAACTACATCTCCCATCTCACACCACACACCAAGACGGCCGTCACGTTGGAACATCTCACTTCTTTCTTTCAGAAGAGGTGAAAATGGTGAAAATCACTACAAGTCTGGGCACGTTGAGAGCTGTGCATACACACAAGGGGAGTGAGTCGGTTCCGTGAGAGCCAGCATGCGGGACCGGGACTCTGGGATTTGTAGTCTTTCTAGTTGCGTATTTTTCATAGTCTTATATTTCAACAGTTTTACGACAAACTGTGACTTTTTTGACATGGAAATTATTTTTTAAGATTGACAAACATCATTATGTGGAATTCGTGGCACAATTCAAACGGGATCGAAAGATACGTTTTCTCCCTCCATTGACTTCAATACATACTTTTTCAGAAATAAGGTCCCATGGGTCGGAAGTAGATGGGCGGGACTTCGCCTCTCTATTGATTGTTCCTATGACAGCTTAAGTAGCTTGGAAAATAGCGATATGGGAAACTACATTTAATTGGATTTACTGTTTATCAGACGACAAATGAGACAATAATTAGCGTTAGCGGCTGTCACATTTAACATTTTGTATCATTTAGAAAAGCCAAGTCTTTCTCTTTTCTTGTTCATGTATTATTATGACATGGGTGTTGCTGTATGTACAATTAAATGTATCTTTTATTAGAGGTTTTTTTCAATAGTGAACAAAAATATAACACAAGTGTGCAATTGGAAACATGACTCAGAGAGACACGAGGAGAGCTGGAGCTTTGGTGGCAAACACTGACGGTTTATTTAGAGCTTCGGCCGGAGAACTGAAAAGACAGGTGGTGCGTCACGAGTTGACACAGCGGTTGCCAAACCAATTCTGCAGAACTCTTCTGTAGCTCGAGGTTTTAACTAGTTCGGTGTGTAATAATCAACATTCTTCATCAGTGAGACTAAAGCATTATGGACCCTGAATCTATAGAGCTCTCGTCCATAGGAAAGAATGTGCGCCAGGGAGCCTTCGTCCCTGAACAGTAAACTACCTCATGGCGGCTTGTGCTCGGTCATAGACTGGCAACAACAATGCGCCCAAGCTGCTCCTCCTTAAGAGAGATAGCAGCAATACCCAAGCTCCTCCCCCTTAAGAGAGATAGCAGCAATACCCAAGCTGCTCTTCCTTAAGAGAGATAGCAGCAATACCCAAGCTCCTCCCCCTTAAGAGAGATAGCAGCAATACCCAAGCTCCTCCCCCTTAAGAGAGATGGCAGCAATACGCAAGCTGCTCCTCCTTAAGAGAGATAGCAGCAATACCCAAGCTCCTCCCCCTTAAGAGAGATAGCAGCAATACCCAAGCTCCTCCCCCTTAAGAGAGATAGCAGCAATACCCAAGCTCCTCCCCCTTAAGAGAGATAGCAGCAATACCCAAGCTCCTCGCCCTTAAGAGAGATAGCAGCAATACCCAAGCTCCTCCCCCTTAAGAGAGATAGCAGCAATACCCAAGCTGCTCCTCCTTAAGAGAGATAGCAGCAATACCCAAGCTCCTCCCCCTCAAGAGAGATAGCAGCAATACCCAAGCTCCTCGCCCTTAAGAGAGATAGCAGCAATACCCAAGCTCCTCCCCCTTAAGAGAGATAGCAGCAATACCCAAGCTGCTCCTCCTTAAGAGAGATAGCAGCAATACCCAAGCTCCTCCGCCTTAAGAGAGATAGCAGCAATAC